TGGGATCAAGACCACCAACAAATATTGTTGTATTATTAGGATCACTCTCGCCCTGATTTCCTTGAGAATTCTGATACGAAGCTGTTTGAGTTGGGCCACTCATAGGCTTTTCATTAGCTGCAGGGCCAATTCTCATTGGCCGACTTGAACAGACCACACCATTCATCTCATTCATTGCCCTTTGTTGCTCTCTCTCATCGCCAAATTTGACAAATCCATAACCCTTTGAACGTCCAGTGTTCCTATCAGTAACAACTTTTGCACCCCTGACAGATTGGTACACAGCCCTGAAAGTTTCCTGCAAGATGTAATCTGTGACCTCACCAGCCAAATCCCCCACAAAAATTGTGTGCTCGGGCCCACCATCTGAGCGCTTATCTCCAGCGCCTAGAGAGGCCCAGTTCATGCGGAAAGGCTGTTTAGAATTGGGCATTGTTGTACCATTATATGTTTGAAGTATATTTTCACCAGCAGCACGAGTCCTGAACTCAAGGAAGCCATACCCCTCGGATTGGCCTGTTTGCTTGTTACGAATTACCTTAGCAGATACAAACTCTCCGCTGTTGTAGAAGCAGTTGCTGAGGTAATTCTCGTCCATCCAGTACTGAAGATCCCCAACCCACAGAGATCGAACCTCATCCGTTCCGCCACCTGCCTGCCCAGAGGAGGCCGCGTTAGCAGGCGTCGCACCGTAGTGTTGCTGAGGCCAGAATGAAGGCGGCTGCGCCTGAGCTGGCTGGTGCTGCTGCGGTGGGTACGGCTGTTGCTGTGGAGGCTGCTGCTGACGATGATCCATTCCCATGGGCGGTGGATCCATTCCTCCTGGCTGTTGCATCATCTCACGGAGGAAATTTTACGGGGAGGAAAAAGAGAGTATTTTGAAAAGGAAAGACAAGTTCACACAGCAATATCACAATAAAAAAAAATGCATGTTTACTTCCTTGGGATGATGCACGCTAAACGTAAGATGGCTCAAGAATTTCCAATTCATTGTCTCAACAAGTCTCGAGAAGTAGGTAGCGAATTTTGAGCGGCAACTCCAAAACAAACCACAAAAAATAAATAACCGATTTAAGACGAATAAAAAACAACTTAAAAGACGATACACCATCCACGTCTATCGTGAAAATATCCAACTCATATTTGGGTACACCTTCAAAGTCGCCCCCTCGTGATCAAAAATAGTTACAGAACCTAGCTTTTTTTATTGAATTGAACAGGAAAGATGGGAAGAAGCAAATAAATTAACAAGACCAATTAAAGGCACAATAACATTAATCTTAATTAACCTGCTGCCTTTCATCTCTCCACATTAACTGGAAGCAGATTTCTTTCTGGTCCTTCAAGACATCCCAAGTATCCAACGGAATAAGCCGCCAAGTGTGACCATCTTCATCAAAAATCTGAGCTCTTACTTTCTCAAGATGCCGCAAACCACCAAGGATCCTACCCGAGCATTCGTAATTTAGCCGGAGAAAGGTCTTAAAAAGGAAATCGCTCGGGTAATTAGGAGTGTGATTAGGCTGAGTGATGAACTTTGGACAGCACAACCGAAACAAACCATCAAAAAGAGCAGAACAAGTCAAAGACAGAGTGTTGCAGTACATGCCATCTACGGTCAACTGCTCGACTTGGTGCAGTGTCAAGCCATTGAACTCCCACTCGTCATTACTGAAGCATTGTGTGTGGCCTACTTTCATAGAGAGGTGAATTTTGTAGCATCTCAAATCGGTTAATAATTTGTTCGAGCTTGTAAACTTAAACTTACGAATACTTGGAACATCAAACTCGACACTTACTGTCTTCTCAATACAATTTGTTTCGAAGCGTAGATACTCGATGTTTAGATACTCGATTGTTGGGCTAGATATGAGTAAATCCCCTTGGTAAGCGCAGTGAACCATAGATAAATCTCTCAGCAAAGGAAATTTACAAGATAAGTCACCAAAAAACGAGGTATAAATTCTCATATGCCTCAGCTCCAGATGCCTTAGATTTCGCAAGTTAGGAAGACTTAAGGTAACACATACTGCGAGTGCCATTGTTAGAGTTAAACTCTCAATCTTTAGGTTCGATTCTTCATACCTTTGAATAGTCTTGTCCATGAACCTTGATAATTCATCAGCAAAGGTAAAGTCGTAAATACCGAAGTCCAAGCTGGGGCGAGTGAGCCAGGCTTTGCGCCAAGATTTAGACAGGACAGTCGTTCGGGCAGCTTCTTTACCACTGAGAAAAGATTGTATGCGATGGATTATTGGCTCCGATAACAAAAACTCGCCGAGCCGCCGCCGATGGTTGGCCATCATCACTTCAAAACCCTATAACCAAATTTGTATTGGAAATTTTTTTTTTTTGAAGGCTTCGAACACACCTTATATATCTGTACACCACCTTATATTTAAATATTAAAAATTTAAACCATAATTTATATACCCACCGTCTTTACTAACTTGTATTGGTTTTTATTTTTTTTTTCTATTTTTTTTTTTCAATAATTTTTTGGGATCTGAATTTGGCCCATTGGTTATTAATTTTTAGACTTTTAGTTAGTTTGGATAATATTTTTTTTTGGTTAGTTTAACTTTTTAGTTACTTTGGATAATATATTCGACCGAATTTGCATGGTGAATACGCTTTTGTCAATCGTATTTATTCAAATATATTTTATTTTATAAAAAATAAAATATAAAAAATTATCTAGAAAGTAATATTTGATGTTATACTAGAAAATTAACGATATTCTTTTAGAGTGCACGTGAAATCTCTTTGGTTGCACGTACACAACACATTAATATTTTTTTAACTGAAATATTTCGTCGCCGTTTGCTACAGCCTACCAGTAAATATTAATCATTCATGATTATTTGTTTTCGTTGCATATTTTAAACTCAAGTTTTTTTTTTTTTTTTT